TTGGCCGGGCAGCTGAAGAGCTTGTCGCACTCCGGGCAACGGTACTCGACGCGGACAATGCGCGAGCACTTGTGCTGAGCCAGCGCCAGCGGGTCCGGGTAGGGCTCCTTGCAGAGCTGGCAAATAAACTCGCCCAAAGGCTGGGCGCCTCCCGTCCGGGGACCTCCAGCCGAGCCCGCCTGCTGATGCTGCTGATGCTGCTGCGCCGCCGTCGTGGTCGTCGTCGTGGTCCCTGTAGTGGTCGAGGCAGGTTCTGGGGGTCCTTCTTTGATGCGCAGCCCCAGCACAGGCGACGTCGTCACCTCATCCTCGAAGTGGAGCTTGCGGGCCGCTTTGGCCTTTCTGCCTTGCGGCCGCTTGGAGACGCCCTGGCTTGACCCGTGGCTGCGCTGGGGGACCGGCGGCGGCTGAGGCGGCGGCGGCGGCACCGGGCCAGTCGCGATGGCGGCTGCGACTGCCCAGAGCTTGAGCTCCCCCCCGGGCCCCAAGAGCAGTGGCTCCGGCGCCGGAAAGGACTCCGCCGAGACCGGCGAGCCCAGGTGGAGGCTGCGCTCCTCGCTGACGGCCCGCGCAGGACTGTGCAGGGGCGCCGGAGAAGAAGAGGGAGCCTCTGGCGTTCCGAACTGAGGCACGGCCGGCACGGGCAGGGACACCCCCTCGGGGGGCTCCGAGGCAAAGCCCGACGCGGGTGGCTCAGGAGGAGGAGGAGGAGGCGGCGGGGGCACCAACAGCAGCACCGGATCGCCTCCCTGCGCCACCGCCGTTGGGTAGCAGCAGCGCGTCCTGTAAGAGATGGGCGTCGGTCGGCGGCTCCTCTTCACCAGGAAACCCCGAGGCATCCTCGGGCGGATCCGGGCAGTGCCAAGGCGCCTGCCTGCCTGCCTCAGCCTCGGAGCCGCGGCGACGGCTCCAAGACCAAGCGCTCTTCTTTCCTTCTGTCTCGTCTCCCGTCAGTTCGTCTTTCCCTGGTCAGTCTCGGCTAGCTTCGGCTTGGCCACGGAGAGACGAAACGGGAGCGCGATGGGGAGAGAGAGAGGGGGGCCTTGCTCTTGCTCTTGCTCTCGCCTCGCCTCCTCACTTCGCGCGCTCGCTCGCTCGCCCGCTCGCTCTGTGCGGCCGGCTCCCTGGGCGCCAGCGCGCCTCCGCCTCCTCGTGGTGTCGCCCCCCCCAGACGCCCAGCCTCGCCGCCCGCTTTTTAAGGGGGGAGGACAGCATTGTTCGTGCCTCCTGCTCCTCCCGGAGCCAATCAGCGCTTCCCGCGGCTGCTCCCTGGGCTTTGAGGCGGGCGGGAAAGGGGGCAGGCGCGCGCCAGGCGGGTGGCTCGGCTCTACCTAGAGCGCGGCAGATGTACCTGAGGGCCTGGGCGCGTCCCTTTTCTTTATCTTCCCTCGCCCCCCTCCGCACCCCGCTCTTTTCTTTCCCCTTCTCCCTCCTCGCGCGCGCCCCCCCCTTCGCACTCCCGGTCCCTTCCAAAGGCACACGCCCGGCTCCGCCTCCTTTCACGGTCTGCTGCTTTTCTATGAGAAGGCGCACGTGCCTCGCCTTTGTGTCGCTCCTCCAGGGGGGCACAAGAGCTGCCAAATCGAAATATCCATCAGCATGACAATAAAAGACCGGGAGGAAGGGAAGAGAGAAACCCGAGTGCATTGGCGCGGGGGCGGCGGGGGGGGGCGAGAGCAGGGAGAGAGAATTACCCGCAGCTCCAGGGGGAAAATAGCAACAAAGGCGAAGAACGGGCCCGAAATATGTCAAGGAGAATGTTCAAAATGCAAAACAGGGCGAGGGGGAAAGCGGAGACAAGAGAGACTTCGAAAACTGAGGAAGGGCTGGGGAAGAGGGCGCGCCAGTTGTTGAAAAGCACCAACAGGGCGCGGGGGATCCTGAGGGAAGGCGCGCAAACAGGAG